GAAGGACGGGGGGGGGGGGGGGTTTAAGGTTGTGATTCATACATTCAGAAACCTAAAGCTGGACATAGGGCCCAATTAATGGTTGGACATAGGGGGCAATTAATGGTTGGGCATAGTGTGCTCTTTTCTTTGTTATATTTTAATTTCTATAGTTGGCTGAGGAAGGCTTTATGCCGAAACGTCCTTGTTTTTTGTCCTGTTATCTTATTCAAGCTTCCACACATACCTCGTTTTGCTATTTCATTCATTTACTAAGCTTGAAAGCAGTCCTTTCATTTATTTCTTCAATGTAATAGTTGGACATATGGGTCAATGTAATGGTTGGACACAGGGGTCAATATAATGGTTGGTCATAGGGGTCAATGTAATGGTTGGACATAGGGGTCAATGTATTGGTTGGACATAGGGGTTAATGTAATGGTTGGACATAGGGGGCAATGTAATGGTTGGACATAAGGGTCAATGTAATAGTTGGACATAGGGGTTAATGTAATAGTTGGACATAAGGGTCAATGTAATAGTTGGACATAGGGGTTAATGTAATAGTTGGACATAGGGGTCAATGTAATGGTTGGACATAGGTGTCAATGTATTGGTTGGACATAGGGGTCAATGTAATGGTTGGACATAGGGGGCAATGTAATGGTTGGACATAAGGGTCAATGTAATAGTTGGACATAGGGGTTAATGTAATGGTTGGACATAGAGGTCAATGTAATGGTTGGACATAGGGGTCAATGTATTGGACATAGGGGTCAATGTAATGGTTGGACATAGGGGTCAATGTAATGGTTGGACATAGGGGTCAATGTAATGGTTGGACATAGGGGTCAATGTATTGGTTGGACATAGGGGTCAATGTAATGGTTGGACATAGGGGGCAATGTAATGGTTGGACATAAGGGTCAATGTAATAGTTGGACATAGGGGTTAATGTAATGGTTGGACATAGGGGTCAATGTAATGGTTGGACATAGGGGTCAATGTATTGGTTGGACATAGGGGTCAATGTAATGGTTGGACATAGGGGTCAATGTAATGGTTGGACATAGGGGTCAATGTAATGGTTGGACATAGGGATCAATGTAATGGTTGGACATAGGGGTCAATATAATGGTTGGATATAGGGGTCAATGTAATAGTTGAACATAGGGCTCAATGTAATGGTTGGACATACAGGTCAATGTATTGGTTGGACATAGAGGTCAATGTAATGGTTGGACATAGGGGTCAATGTTTTGTTTGGACATAGGGGTCAATGTAATGGTTGGACATAGAGGTCAATGTAATGGTTCAACATAGAGGTCAATGTATTGGTTGGACATAGGGGTCAATGTAATGGTTAAACATAGAGGCCAATGTAATGGTTGGACATAGAGGTCAATGTAATGGTTGGGCATAGGGGTCAATGTAATGGTTGGACATAGGGGTCAATGTAATGGTTGGACATAGGGGTCAATGTAATGGTTGGACATAGGGGTCAATGTAATGGTTGGACATAGGGGTCAATGTAATGGTTGGACATAGGGGTCAATGTAATGGTTGGACATAGGGATCAATGTAATGGTTGGACATAGGGGTCAATGTAATGGTTGGACATAGGGGTCAATGTAATGGTTGGACATAGGGGGTGGTGTATCAGTCTGTGAAATCCGTGGTCGAGTTACTGGTCCACAACCCGGAATAGTGTCTTCACACTTTAAACCCAACAGAGATTCCGCCATGGCATCTACGTCTCAAAGTTCATGCTTCTATTATGCTGCCTTGCAACCTTTGACCCACTCCCTACATTTTGTAAGGGCACCAGGATGCAGGCTAAAGCCTTACATATAAATGTCATTGAAGCAACCATCTTCAGGAACGTAGTGCGGGAGAAAGTTTTAATACCGCGAATTTCTATGATTCCCCTCGACTGCCACAGTCCGTTTAAGAGACTAAAGTTTCCTGTCAAAGTCTGTTTCGCCACAAAAAACGACTTGGATTTCGTAATTCTGGGTCAGGAGTTTTTAAAAAGTGAGACATGGTTCTTCACAGCGGAGACACACATAGTACTTACGTCGCTCTCCAGTACCCTCCTGTGTTCTGCCGTCGATGCCACACTGACACTGATAGTACTTACGTCGCTCTCCAGTACCCTCCTATGTTCTGCCGTCGATGCCACACTGACACACATAGTACTTACGTCGCTCTCCAGTACCCTCCTATGTTCTGCCGTCGATGCCACACTGACACTCATATTACTTACGTCGCTCTCCAGTACCCTCCTATGTTCTGCCGTCGATGCCACACTGACACACATAGTACTTACGTCGCTCTCCAGTACCCTCCTATGTCATGCCGTCGATGCCACACTGACACACATAGTACTTACGTCGCTCTCCAGTACCCTCCTATGTTCTGCCGTCGATGCCACACTGACACACATAGTACTTACGTCGCTCTCCAGTACCCTCCTATGTCATGCCGTCGATGCCATACTACCACTCATCGTACTTGCGTCGCTCTCCAGTACCCTCCTATGTCATGCCGTCGATGCCATACTACCACTCATCGTACTTGCGTCGCTCTCCAGTACCCTCCTGTGTTCTGCCGTCGATGCCATACTACCACACATAGTACTTACGTCGCTCTCCAGTACCCTCCTATGTTCTGCCGTCGATGCCATACTACCACACATCGTACTTACGTCGTCGCTCTCCAGTACACTCCTATGTTCTGCCGTCGATGTATCAGTACCCCTCAACGTGAAATTACTTAATCTCTTTGTGTTTTATAACTGAGCAACAACGTCACGGTGTAACAGACAAACTGATTAGGTCTAAATCTCTTCCATTCTTTTAATTAAATGGCTGTAAGAAGAAGAAAAAACTTGAATTTAAAAAAAAAACTGTAAGTTCAAATGAGAAACGTGTACGTATCCAATCAAGTCCATAACAAACAAGTGACAACATCATCAGCTTACTAAATAGAAAATCGTGATTATTTGCATCCAACTACTTGGGTACTTAAAATAATCTTTTGAATCTATTAAAATAAACACATAAATACAAAATATAAAAAAAAATATGATCATTGTCTTTGTATGATTTTAAAAAAAGAAGATTAATTAAAACAAAAAGTTATTGAAATCAATAAACTTGACCTTGAGCAATGTTTCCTTTAAGCTGCGCGGCTGCGGGGCCGCGCAGCTATCTCACAGACGCCGCGCAGCAGCTTTGAGTATCCGCGCAGCAAATTTCCATGTAAGTTTGTGTTTGTGGGCTGTAAAATTTTGCACACAAAAAATTTTGATGCTGTAAAACTTTGCACACAACTGTATGATTTTGCACACGAACAAGCAAACCTTAGAGGGAACATTGACCTTGAGATGTCCAAATATCGCAACAACTGGCTGACAAAGCGATACTGGCGTCGCCTTGTTTCACGGAGCCCTGATGTGGACTGGTCAAACTAAAATTTCATACATCAAACACAGACAAATGATTTAGACGGACCACGGGAAATAAAATGCAGTTGGTAACTTATTATTTTAGAAAATGTAAAACTATTAGACCATAATATATGTGAATATATATTTTTGTTTTATTAAATTAATGTATGTTAAGATTTAAGTTCATGATTATTTTGTTAAATTGTATGTACAGCCTGGTGAGCCCAGCCCTAAGTTGTATGTACAGCGTGGTGAGCCCAGCCCTAGGTTGTATGTACAGCCTGATGAGCCCAGCCCTAGGTTGTATGTACAGCGTGGTGAGCCCATCCCTAGGTTGTATGTACAGCCTGGTGAGCCCAGCCGTAGGTTGTATGTACAGCCTGGTGAGCCCAGCCCTAGGTTGTATGTACAGCCTGGTGAGCCCAGCCCTAGGTTGTATGTACAGCCTGGTGAGCCCAGCCCTAGGCTGTATGTACAGCCTGGTGAGCCCAGCCCTAGGTTGTATGTACAGCCTGGTGAGCCCAGCCCTAGGTTGTATGTACAGCCTGGTGAGCCCAGCCCTAGGTTGTATGTACAGCCTGGTGAGCCCAGCCCTAGGTTGTATGTACAGCCTGGTGAGCCCAGCCCTAGGTTGTATGTACAGCCTGGTGAGCCCAGCCCTAGGTTGTATGTACAGCCTGGTGAGCCCAGCCCTAGGTTGTATGTACAGCCTGGTGAGCCCAGCCCTAGGTTGTATGTACAGCCTGGTGAGCCCAGCCCTAGGTTGTATGTACAGCCTGGTGAGCCCAGCCCTAGGTTGTATGTACAGCCTGGTGAGCCCAGCCCTAGGTTGTATGTACAGCCTGGTGAGCCCAGCCCTAGGTTGTATGTACAGCCTGGTGAGCCCAGCCCTAGGTTGTATGTACAGCCTGGTGAGCCCAGCCCTAGGTTGTATGTACAGCCTGGTGAGCCCAGCCCTAGGTTGTATGTACAGCCTGGTGAGCCCAGCCCTAGGTTGTATGTACAGCCTGGTGAGCCCAGCCCTAGGTTGTATGTACAGCCTGGTGAGCCCAGCCCTAGGTTGTATGTACAGCCTGGTGAGCCCAGCCCTAGGTTGTATGTACAGCCTGGTGAGCCCAGCCCTAGGTTGTATGTACAGCCTGGTGAGCCCAGCCCTAGGTTGTATGTACAGCGTGGTGAGCCCAGCCCTAGGTTGTATGTACAGCGTGGTGAGCCCAGCCCTAGGTTGTATGTACAGCGTGGTGAGCCCAGCCCTAGGTTGTATGTACAGCGTGGTGAGCCCAGCCCTAGGTTGTATGTACAGCGTGGTGAGCCCAGCACTAGGTTGTATGTACAGCCTGGTGAGCCCAACCCTAGGTTGTATGTACAGCCTGGTGAGCCCAGCCCTAGGCTGGGGTACCGCGCTATATAAAACCACCACTAATAAAAATAATAATAATGGATTAGAAAAGACTTGGACCAAGACACATGGTAGCAGTGTTCCTTCCAGAAAATTTGATCCGAGGAATCTCGGGTTTTGGTGGGCGGGGGCGCGAAAAACACCAAAAGTGGGCCAAATGGCAAACTATCGCCAGCTCTGAATCCAGCGCCCACGCCTTACCCAGTTTCGGCGCCCTGGGGGTATGCCTTTGGTCCCCTCTTATTTTCGCCCCTGGCTTCTTTAATGCATCCTTTTTAATACATTAACGAGGACACTATCCAAAATATATCAGAATCCCTGGTTTACAGTTACGATGTACAAGATTTAAAATGTTTCCATTTTCCCCTCACAGCGGAATACAGCCATCGATTGGCTGTCCATGGTCTACATGCTGGCGTACATCCCGTTCATCTTTCCCGCCAATTGGCTACTCAACCGGAAAGGCCTGCGAATATGCTGCATCGTGGGATCGTTGCTTAATTGTGTTGGAGCCGGACTAAAACTGGCCAGTGTTTCTCCCGACCGGTGAGTCGCGTGAAATAAACTACTTTGTGTGAAATGTTTATTTTCCAGATTTAAAGACTTTATACGGCATGTTGGCATAAATGAGACATTTGTAGGAATGAGACTTTATATGGCATGTTGTCACGAAGAAATACATTGTAGGAAATGAGACCTAATATGGCATGTTTGCACGAGGAGAAACATTTGTAGGAAATGAGCCTTAAATACTTTATACTGCATGTTGGCATAGACATTTGTTAAATGAACCCTTATAGACGCCTGTAGGAAATAAGACTTAAAGACACATGTTGGAAATGTGACTTACAGATACAAGTAAGGAATGAGATTATAGACACTTGCTAAATGAATCATCCAGAAATTATCCTCGCTGCTTTACAGGGATCCTCAGATACCACCCTCCCTTAGATAGCATCTTGCCTTAGATACCACCCTCCCTTAGATACCACCCTCCCTTAGATACCACCCTCCCTTAGATACCACCCTCCCTTAGATACCACCCTCCTTTGGAACCATCTTGCCTGAGATATCACCCTCCCTTAGATACCACCCTCCCTTAGATACCACCCTCCCTTAGATACCACCCTCCCTTAGATACCACCATCCCTTAGATACCACCCTCCCTTAGATACCACCCTCCCTTAGATACCACTCTCCCTTAGATACCACCCTCCCTCAGATACCACCCTCCCTCAGATACCATCTTGCCTTAGATACCACCCTGCCTCAGATACCACCCTCCCTCAGATACCACTGTCCCTTAGATACCATCTTGCCTTAGATACCACCCTCCCTCAGATACCACCCTCCCTCAGATACCACCCTCCCTCAGATACCATCTTACCTTAGATACCACCCTGCCTCATATACCACCCTCCCTCAGACACCACCCTCCCTCTCTCCCTCAGATACCACCCTGCCTTAGATACCACCCTGCCTCAGATACCACCCTCCCTCAGATACCACCGTCCCTTAGATACCATCTTGCCTTAGATACCACCCTCCCTCAGATACCACCCTCCCTCAGATACCACCCTCCCTCAGATACCATCTTGCCTTAGATACCACTCTGCCTCAGATACCACCCTCCCTCAGATACCACCCTCCCTCAGATACCACTCTCCCTTAGATACCATCTTGCCTTAGATACCACCCTGCCTCAGATACCACCCTCCCTCAGATACCACCCTCCCTCAGATACCATCTTGCCTTAGATACCACCCTGCCTCAGATACCACCCTACCTTTCGTATGGAAGTTACTAAGTCAAAATGAAAATGAAGATGGATGATTAAGGAATAAAACTAAGGTAGGGGTTGTCTGTTCAACATTTAAAATCAACCACATGTTTTGAAAGAACTTCAATTATTTCCCTTGCAGATTTGGTTTATTAATGTTTGCTCAGGCCATTTGTGCAGTCTCACAACTCTGGGTCCTGGGAATTCCTGCCAGGTTGGCCGCTGTGTGGTTCGGACCCAATGAAGTGTCAACAGCGACCTCTTTTGGTGTGTTTGGTAATCAGGTAAAACTGGTTGACATGAACACTGAAGTTAACTAATATAATATTGTGATTGTTTGAAGTTAACAAATAAAATATTGTAAATGTTTGAAGTTAACAAATAAAATATTGTAAATGTTTGAAGTTAACAAATAAAATATTGTAAATGTTCGAAGTTAACAAATAAAATATTGTAAATGTTTGAAGTTAACAAATAAAATATTGTAAATGTTTGAAGCTAATAAATAAAGGTTTAAGTTTAAAAATATAATATTGTAAATGTTTAAGTTAAAAAATAAAATTGTGTAAATGTTGTAGAATGTAGCCGGCAGGCATTAGTCTAGATCTAAATGTTGACATAAGAGCATAGGAGACATTAAGCCAATGAGGACTTTCCACATTAGGACAGATGTGAATAATAGATAATAACAGACATTCATAAAACACGATGAAAAAATCCATATGACATGATGCTATACTTCCTTGATATATTATGATATATTTACAAAATACATGATAAAAGCCTGCATAATACATTGTAAAAAATTCATAATATATGATACAATGATATAGTACATGATAATATTCTTCCAAAAACATGATGATATGCTTCCATAATGCATAATGATATACTTCCATAATACATGACATTTTTCATAATGCATGATGATGCATAATGCCTAGAGGGCCAATAATTTATTGTATATCCAAAAAAAGTCAAATTTTATACCCCACTGTTGCACCTGTATGTATTTGGGCTACCTCCACCCACTCCAATGTATAAGTGCAAAGAGCTGTCAAACCCATATCCCAAATAAATTTAAAAAAAAAAAATTTTAAATGACAAAATATCCATAAAAAAAAAATCACAGACATCAATAATGTGTTATGACAGACATCACTAATGCATGATGACAGACATCCATAATTCATGATGACAGACATCAATAATTATAACAGAAAATATCAAACACAAGAGTATCTAAAGAATGAACTAATCACATCTTAAGACAGTTCAATGTATTTGTTAGTTCAAAATTGATTAGTTCATGATTAAATTTTACAAGTTCAATATCTATTAGTTTTTCTTGAGCTGGTAGCATTTGAATGTGATTTTACAAACTTCACCTTTAACATCAATTAGTTTTTAATTATCAAACAGCAGGACACATACAGGACACATACAGGACTCATACAGGACTCATACAGGACACATACAGGACACATACAGGACACATACAGGACACACCCATGGACATAATTTTGTTGTTTACTTTGATATTAGGCAATTATTAATCCGTTTTATAACCAAAAAATCTGAAACACTTGAGTTGATAAATAGGCCTGTAAATTTTTCAACAGTTGTTTCAACCGATTTTTTTGTCGACAGGTTGGCATAGCGGTTGGGTTTTTGATCCCTCCAATTTTAGTCCCAAACTCTTCGGACTTTGATGATCTGACCAGACACTTCTATATCATGTTTATTATTGGTGCTGTCGTCACCTTTGTAATCTTTCTACTCATATGTATATGTAAGTATCATCATATGTAACTGTAATTTCTATCATCTATAACTGTAAATTATTTTATAATTGTTATTAAATGGTCTTATATAGCGCGGTACCCCAACCTAGAGCTAGGCTCACCCTGCTTCACATAAAAATTGGCAAAAAGAAAGAAAAAAGAAAAATGACATTTAAAAAACAGTGAAATAAAATTATTCATTTAAAAACAGCTTTGTAAAAATATTGACCTCACCCACCAAAGTACTATTTACCCCTGTCTAGCCATGGACGGCACCTATCAGCATCGAGCATTTTTTATTGGCTATATCTTTAATTTATATCATCTATATATTTATTTACATGATCTATATCTGTAAGTTCTATCATCTTTATATGTAGTTCTATCATCAGTATTTGCATGACCTGTTTTATCAGCCACACAATCATAAATGCTTATTTTTAAAACAACTATTACATAAAAAATGACAAATATATATAAAATGAAGCTCAGAGTGAATGAAATCAATTAAAATTAATGTAATTGTGTAATTAATTTGAACATAATCTACAAATTATAATTCAGCTTAAGTCTCCTTACAATTACTGAATTAGTGATAATCCATTATTGTCACAAACCAATACCTTTCTTTCTGTGAATCAACAAAACCAATACCTTTCCTTTATGTGACTCAACAAAATAAATACTTTTCCTTTATGTGACTCAACAAAAATACCTTTCCTTTATGTGACTCAACAAAATCGATACTTTTCCTTTATGTCATGTGACTCAACAAAAATACCTTTCCTTTATGTATGTGACTCAACAAAACCAATACCTTTCCTTTATGTGACTCAACAAAAATACCTTTCCTTTATGTGACTTAACAAAATAAATACCTTTTTAATTTATGTGACTCAACAAAACCAATACCTTTTTAATTTATATGACTCAACAAAACCAATACCTTTTTAATTTATATGACTCAACAAAACCAATACCTTTCTTTTATGTGACTCAATCCTAGATGCTAATCACATAAATCTGTTTTTCCAAGTATTCCAAGATAAACCACCAAATCCTCCAAGCAGAGCACAGCTGCTGTCCGTCGAAAATGCAGCAAATGAAAATTATCTTCAGTCACTGGTCCATCTTTTTAAAAATAAAGGATTTCTGGTTCTTATGGTTGCCTATGGTAAGTGGGACAATTCATAATTATTTTGAAAATTAAAGGTGAATCTATGTCACTTTATCCTGTTCATGTGAATATGATAGATATAAATTAATAAATAATCATCATCATCAGTAGCACTACAGCCCATGTAGGGCCCTGGCCTGCTCCACCACATCCTTCCACTCGGAGCGATCCATGTCTTTCCGTCTCCGTGCTCAAATCCCCAACTGGTGTAAATCAGTCTCCACATCATCAATCCACCTCATCCTTGGGCGACCGGTGAGTCGTCTGCCCCTAGGCTTCTGCCTGTATATTATTATAATTTTGGCTCTTCTACATTCCGGCATCCTTTCAACATGACCTGCCCAGCGTATTCTGCCTTTTTTTATCATTGTGACTATGGGTGGTTCTTTGTACAAATAGTAAAGTTCTTGGTTTGTACTTATTCTCCAGATATCATTTTCTATCACTGGTCCGTATATTTTGCGGAGGATTTTTCTCTCTCATGTTTTCAGCAGGTTCTCTGCTTTTCTGGTGAGGGTCCAGGTCTCACTAGCGTACATTACTACAGGTCTTATGATGGTAGTGTATATTGTCTTCTTTGGTCCCCTTGAGAGGTTTTTGCTTCCCAGTAGCTCTTGTAGACTGAAATAGGAACGGTTGCCTGCTGTTATCCTTTCTTTCACCTCCGACATTATCTCATTGTGCTCATTTATAGTTGCCCCTAGATATTTGAATGTAGCCACTCTCTCAAATGTGTGGTTGTTTATATTGATGTTATTATCAGCATGGGAGTTTCTTGACATTATCATATATTTTGTCTTCGGTTCATTTATATCAAGGCCAGCTTTGAATGAGGCATTTTCAAGTTCCCTGAATGCTTTAATTGTGTCATCACGGTTTCTACCCAGTAGTGCTATATATATCATCTGCATATGCCAGGTACTGCAATGGTTGGCTATATAAGGTTCCTGATGGTCGTTGTTCTGTATTATCTCTCTGGAAGTAGTTTGTTATAGTTCCACTGGTGCTAATGTGTATGCTTCTAATAACTTTTTCTAGCGTGATGTTAAACAGGATACATGATAGTGAATCTCCTTGTCTGAGGCCCTGATTAACTAGGAACTCCCTAGAGTATTCTCCCTGTACCTTGATTCTACTTTTGGAATTGGCCATTGTCATTATGTATCATACATGTATGAGCCAAGTAAGCTTGTTAGGGACTCCAAGTTCTTGTAGAGCTGTTTTGTAATCCACATATAGTTGGTCTATGTCAATGTTATATTCGTAACATTTCTCCAGGAGACATCTTATAGTAAAAATATGATCCGTGGTTGACCTATTCTGCCGGAATCCACATTGATAGTCCCCTAGGATCTGTTCACTATACTTTTCCAATTTTCTTGCTATAATTTTTGTGAGGATTTTGTACATTACATTAAGAAGGGAGATACCTCTATAGTTTGAGCATATCAACTTAAATTCCTTTTTGTAGATTGGGATTATGAGTGCCGTGTCCCATTCAGTTGGCATTTCTTCCTCCTGCCAGATTCTGGTTATAAGTTCGTGTATTTGCTTATGCAGTTCGTTACCACCTAGCTTTATGAGCTCTGCAGGGATAAGGTCTATTCCTGGGGCTTTGTTATTTTTCATGGTGGAGATTACATCTTTTATTTCATTTAATGTTGGTTGGTTGACCAGTGGGTCCGGTCCTCCTGGTGGCGGAGCGTAATCCTCATTGGTTCCTCCACCTGAGCCATTCAGTAGGCCTTCAAAGTGTTGTGTCCATCTCTCTAGTACTCTACTGCTTTCTGTGATCAATTCTCCATCAGTGCTTTCACATGGGTGGGATCTTGCTTGAAAGCCATTCTTTTCCTGCTTTATCTTTAGGTACATTCCCCTCACATCTCTTTCTTTTGCCAACTCTTCTATCTTTACTATTTTTTATTTTTCCCAAACACGTTTTTTCTTTCAGCAAATTTTGCTGGCCACCCTTCTTGCTTCATTATATAATTGTCGTGTTCTTCTTGTCTCCCTTTGCAGCATCATTAGCCGAGCTTTGTTTCTTTGTTATATAAGTTATTTGCATTCTGCGTCATACCATCCTGTTCTTTTCACTGCTGGTTTAAATCCAATCGTTTCCTCTGTTACACTTGTAACTATTTGCTTCATCTTTTCCCATTGCTGGTTTATATCAATGTTGCTGGCTGATTCTGTTTTGGATAATTCTAGTAGAGTTTCAATCTTCTGTTGATATTCCTCAGTAATTTTTGGGTCCCTACTCAGTTTCTGACTATTGTACTGTTTTTCTCTTTTATTTTGTTTATTGTGAATGTTACAAATTCTTTGCTTATATTTGATTCTAACAAGCATGTGGTCTGAGTCTATATCTGCCCCTCTACAAGTTTTCACATCTGATATGTCCGAGCCATGCCTCCGGTCGAATTAATAAATAAAGCTTATGATAATGTAAAGTTTTAAAAGATACAAAAAGGACATATGTCTTCTGAAAGCCTTTATCAGTGGACTTATTATTGCAAAATCAACATATAAATACAAATAATTTTTGTTACACCTTTTTGTTTGGTAAATAAGTGTAAACCATTAATGCTTGGGTCAGAATGACATAATACATCAATTGTCTTCCAAAATAAAAAAAAAAAGAAGACTCAAAAAAAAATGTGTTAGTTGTCTCATTAAAGCATTAAATGTTGTGCTTTATAAATTAATCTTTTCTCTAAGTACAGCTTAGACCCACCTCACCTCAAATATAATATTACCATATTTTATGTGTACGTTAAATGGTTTGATTAACATTATGAGCTGTTACGTTTTAATAAAGAAATGAAACCTTATTATAATCAGTTGTTATTTTCTTTAAATGAATGACAGACTTATTACCTGTAGTTTAAAACCTGTAGCTGCTAGTTGCTATTTAAGACTCTCCCTTCCAGGTATCAACACGGGTTCCTTCTACGCTATTTCAACTCTCCTAAACACTATAGTGCTCAACTATTTTGAGGTGAGTAACTGACTGCTTCTCTATTTCTCTAACTATATTCTCACTATTTTTCATTTGACACATTGTTTAATTCTTTTTCAGCCTGAAGGGTAACACCCTTGCATTTTGAAAAAAATATGGTTTATTAAAAATGTAATTTAACTGGTAGGATAAAAAAAAAGGTCAAATTGTTTTTATGTCTCTCTTAAACAGTTTTCTTATGGGGAAAAATTAAGTGCCACTACATAAATTTCTCCTTTATGATTTTTTATCATAATTTAACAATGTTGTTTACTTTTTTTAAACTTACCCCAAAAAAAGCCATCAATTTTTTTAACAGCAAACTTAACAAATGAAATTCTCCTAAAATTTTTAATAAATCAAATTTAATGGTTAAGCTTGGATTTTCAGTTTTTGAAATTTATATTTATGCATATTTTAATCACTTTTACTAGCTTTACTAATAATCTCATTACATTTGAATAAATGCACTGTGCACTGATGTTAAAGTTTTGTTCCATGTATTCCATTGCTTACAGTTGTTCTTATTTTTATTTAACCATCCTTTTCTTATCCTCATTAGGTTCCTTAAACTAACATTTTTTATTAGAAATAGAGCTATAAAATTATATTTGCAACATATTCCTAATACCCAGTATGTGCCTTGCTGTTGATTGCAGAATGAGGAAGAAAATGCTGGTAGAATAGGCCTGACCATTGTCTTGATGGGAGTAGCGGGGGCAGTGCTGGCAGGGATTTGGCTGGACAAGACCAAGACTTTCAAGTTGGTAACAAGCATGAGAAAGAGAGATAGTGAGAGAGATAATGAGAGAGATAGTGAGAGAGCGATAGAGCCATTGCTGTTCATGCAAACTGGCAAAATTTGGCTTAATACTTGAATGAAGTTTTAATAGAATTATTTATTTAGTTGTATAATTAGTTTGTTTGGTTATGTCATTGGTTAAGAAAAGAAATTTTGGAACCTCTGGGTAAGATCGATGAAATATTTTACGCTATTTTTTCAGAGCGACAACCATTGCTATATATGTCTTATCGCTTGCTGGGACAGTAGCATTCACTTTTACACTAGATTTGGAAGCCATTTGGATTGTCTACGTCACTGCTGGATCTTTGGGGTAACTTTTTGCAAAACAAACACACAAACATAATTATTCTGAAAAATCAGCAGAAGAATGGTCATGAATCAAATTTCTAAAACTTAGTTTTACTGTAAAACTTAAAAAGCATTCAAATGCCACAGCCTGTTGAAAGACTGTTGACTTGATATATATCCAGCATGGCATCAATTTTATTGTTATGATAATATTTTTGTAAAATATATTTCTCTGCTTGAAAAGCTTCAGTTAAAAATAAAATTGCTTTTAAAATTATATATATATATATATATATATACTTATCTGTAAAGAGTATAATTAATAATTTAATGATTCATAGCAAAATAGCAAATTAGTCTATTTGAAAAAATAAATAAATTGCTTTTTCCACTACACCTAGACACTCGGTTAGAAATTTTAATTTTGCAGTGTGTGTCAAAGACAATATGAAGAATCATTTTAATTCTTTAGGTTTTTCATGACTGGGTATTTACCAGTAGGGTTTGAGTTTGCTGCTGAACTAACTTTTCCAGAATCTGAAGGGACATCATCTGGTTTACTCAATGCAGCGGCTCAGGTTAGTTCCCCTTACATACAAAAAAAAAATAGTCATCTGGATTATTTTTGAGAACTGATGTAACTTGGATAATTATCCGGTTTGTGTGAGGGTCTAGACCGTTATTTCATTTATAATTCTATCCCTAACTCCCCCACACACACACTTTCCAACTTTCCTGTGCACTGCAAATAATAGGAATCAGCTGTGCCAGAAGCTACTGTACCCAAAAAACATCATTTTTTTTAAAGACAAATCTATTAATTAAAATAAACCCTGTATATTTTAAAATAAAAATGAGTTTTCCCAAAACTTTAAACATTTACAATTTCATGTAAAAAAATGTGGCAATGCAATTTTTTTTCTCTCTTTCCTTTTTTAAAATTGTTTGCTGTTTTATCCTCAGATTTTCGGAATCATTATGACCATTGGTATGCGGGCCATGATGGAGTCTATCAGTGTGCTGAGTGCCAACATTACAATGTGTTCATTGCTTTTGGTTGGTGCCATTATAACATGTGGGTAATTTTTATCATCATTAGTCTTATTATTAACACTCCACTGGTCCAAAGTATAAGCCTGTCTCTTAAAGTTAAAATAGCATGGTCATTATTCTGTTTACGGTACCCAGTACCTTTGTGGATCTATGTAACAATTATATTTTTATATCATTTTTATTTTACTGTAATTTGCAGACCTTTAAGAATGTATTAATTTTTATATATATTTTGTTTTGACAGCCTTGATCAAAGCAGACTATAGAAGACAAGAAGCAGGAAAGGCAGTAATAGGAGATGTTTTAAAAGATACTGAAGAGATTGTAGATACACCTGAGGAAAACAAAGTTTTTAAATCTCCAGCTAAAGGAGTTAACAATCAACAAAATAATTCTTTATAAAAAAATGACCTAGGACTTAAACATATTCTTGATTCATGTGCTCATTCATTCTATCAATATGACAAAATCTAGATCAATATTCTTTCATTAAATTTTTGTTAAAAATCTTGCTATCAAGATAAAAACATGATAATGAGCCATAATAACAATATAAAAAAAATAACATGTTATGTTTCTCCTTACTGTTCTGTACATTGCACATGGAAGTTATTTCATACAAAAATTAACTTTCCTCCACAGATTTTACTGTGCACTGGTTCCCAAAGTGATTTGGTTGTAAGCTTGCAACGAAAATATTAGTGGCTCCATTCGACAAAATAATCAAATACTTAAGTGTAATTGTGCTAATGTATATATCCATTTATTGTAGAGTACTTACCATCATTACTGTCAGTTGCATAGAGAACCTACCATCATTAATGTCAGTTGTATAGAGGACCTACCATCATTAATGTCAGTTGCGTAGAGTACCTACCATCATTACTGTCAGTTGCGTAGAGTACCTACCATAATTACTGTCAGTTGGATTGAGTAAATACCATCATTAGTGTCAGTTTTGTATAGTACCTACCATCATTACTGTCAGTTGTGTAGAGTACCTAAAAACAAGTCCAAGTAAACAAATGACATAACAGAAAATTGGCCATTAAATATGCTCTTTTTCAATACAAATGAAAGAAGATCTGATTGAGTTTTTTTTTTGCTCTGCAATATTTGCATTTCCCCGTCTTCCAGCATGGCATCAATTTTATTGTCATGATAAAATTTTTGTAAAATATATTTCCCTGCTTAAAAAGCTTCAGTTAAAAATAAAATTGTGTTCAAAATTATTTAATATTTTTTAAAGCAAAATTTTTCTTTTAATACTTTCTTTTGAAGAGATGTTTAAACACACTAAAAATTTGAAAATAATTTTCTTTAAATTCGTTAGGCCCCTTTTTTAGTTTGAAAATTTGAATCTATAAATTATCAACACAAAATATTTTTTAAGCTATGACTGCTTAAACAATACCTGGGATAGTGACTTAGCTTTATATCCAGGCATCAAACTAAAAAGGAGATTTTAACCACTGCTGCATTTTATACCCCTGGTCACTCTCTGTCCATTTATCAGAGTCTAATAATTAAAATGTCCTTCCCCAACCCAAAATCCTACAGTTAGGACCGATGATTACAGTTAGGACCGATAAATACAGTTAGGACCGATGATTATTGCAAGCGAAGGGGTAGGGTCGTTGTTTTTCAACACCTTTTCTTATTTCCCCTTCACTCAGCTCCCCTCCCCACCTTTCTTTCGATCCAGCATACCAGACCCACTCAACTCAAATGCGACCTTACAGGACAGGTATAAACCAAGCAAGAGGGTCATGTGTGACAACAACAAAATTATGCTACAAAGTTAGAAACTTAAAAACCCTATGGATTTGCAAGTAGAAAGTCTCTTTTTTGTTTTTAAAGAAATAGACTTTATTATGTCTGGAGACTAATTTTTGGGACTGTTGCAACATGCATGATTGGCCAACACAAGAAGAGGAATATAAAAAAAAAAAACAGTTGCTCCAAAATATTCTTTGTGAAATTGAATTGTCCATGCACTAAAGAAAATCTGGCTCCTGATTGCATGGTTTAGGAATGGCAATATGCAAAATTCTTGTAGAAAAATGGTGTTTTATTATCTGTATATTTATTGTTAATAATAGACTACTTTTATACAACTGTCAAATGTGGGTCAAGAAGCTGAAGATTTTACAACTATAAGACACACAAAAAATGAGTATTTTGATACATTGGTTTGACTGTAGGAAAGTATGAAAGCCAAATGCTGGTACTACTGCCATTGACATACTGTTTTGTTTTGCTTGTGATGTAAATACATATTTTGTGTAATTGTACAGTACATAATTTGTCTTGAAGAAGTATTATTATTGTGCTTAATTCATTCATGAAACATACATATATTAAACAGAATTTTTTTTTTAAAGTTATGCACAAATTTATTTATGAATTTTACATTTTGGTTGATGTTTCTTTGGTTAAAACATAGAGAAAAATAAAAAATCTTTGTACAAAAATATGCAGTATTGTTCCAAATATAGGCCTCTTTGCTTAAAATCGAGGTGGGGTCTAACATCAGGATTTTTTAACAATAAAATTAACCAAAAATACTGGTAGAAGGGAAAAATCAAAATTGAGACTTTATAGAAGTCCCTAAGTGACAAAATCTGAACCCAAAAAAAAAGAAAAATTTGGTTACTCTCATCAATATGTCACCAATGTTTCATTAAATATGTCACCAACGCTTCCACAACAATATGCAACCAATGCTTTCACTAAATAAAATTCCAGCTAAATGCGTCTCTTAAAAATATCGCAAGCACGTTTGGTGTAAAAATTGTCTTTTGTTTTACGGAAATGGTCTCATTGTAACTACAGTGTTATACAATGTAACTACAGTGTTATTCAATGTAACTATAGTGTTATACAATGTAACTATAGTGTTATTCAATGTAACTATAGTGTTATACAATGTAACTATAGTGTTATTCAATGTAACTTTAGTGTTATTCAATGTAACTATAGTGTTATACAATGTAACTATAGTGTTATACAATGTAACTATAGTGTTATACAATGTAACTATAGTGTTATACAATGTAACTATAGTGTTATACAATGTAACTTTAGTGTTATAAATATGTGATATAAAAGGGGGTGGGCTTAATATTAATATATTTCTGAGGCATGAAAATGGTGTGTGCGGTTATGAACTTCTGGGAGGGGAGAGCTCTAATTGTGATTTTTATTAAGAACGTTACTTGAGTGCATGGTGTGTCCAGTAACTTTAGTGGATGGGAATTTCAGGCGATGGATGCTACCTATGTTTTGGCAACCTACAGCTAGTTCCAAAACAATTACCAAGTATTGCTAAATATAATTAACTTAAGAATGTCCAACAACTTAAAGAATAGGCTTGCTGGTAACGACATTTCTGGATAAATCTCAAAATATTTCATAAATAAGGAGTTACGGGCGGTGTAATACAAGTATATGTATATGTCATATGTGTAGCCGCGTGGTGAAGAGACAGCTGACAGTTGTGTTTATATATTTGGTATGTATAAACTCAAGGAAATGCAGGTCTTGAGGACTGTAGCCTTTATTTGGTTCTTACAGTGCTGTGTAAACAGGAATGGTAGAAGAAAATCTTAAGTAAAAGTTCCAAGAAAGAGGAGCTGAAGAAAAGGCTTAAGAAAAGGGACACTATCTCAAAAGATACAAATAGTACAGGTTAACAATGTCCTGAATAATATTGAATTACACAGCTAACAAATAACCAGATTAAATAACTTTGTAGTTACAGGTTATGACAGAATACACTTAACTACCAATGCAGATGCATGATGACCATATAGTACGTGTTATACAGATGCCAATTGAAATGATATCCTTGAAGAAATGTTAAAAGAATTCACGTGGCAGTGTTTAACTTGTGGCACGTACACCGTCGTACATTCAAAACCAGATGTGAGGGTCAACATACAGGTGTGAGATGTGAGGGTCAACATACAGGTGTGAGATGTGAGGGCCAACATAGAGGGGTGAGATGTGAGGGTCAACATAGAGATGTGAGGGCCAAGATACAGGTGTGAGATGTGTGGGTCAACATAGAGGTGTGAGATGTGAGGGTCAACATAAAGGTGTGAGATGTGAGGGTTAACATACAGGTGTGAGATGTGAGGGCCAACATACAGGTGTGAGATGTGAGGGTCAACATACATGTGTGAGATGTGAGGGCCAACATACAGGTGTGAGATGTGAGGGCCAACATACAGGTGTGAGATGGGAGGGCTAACATAGAGGTGTGAGATGTGAGGGTCAACATAGAGGTGTGAGATGTGAGGGTCAACATACAGGTGTGAGATGTGAGAGCCAACATAGACGTGTGAGATGTGAGGGCCAACATAGAGGTGTGAGATGTGAGGGCCAACATACAGGTGTGAGATGTGAGGGTCAACATACATGTGTGAGATGTGAGGGTCAACATACAGGTGTGAGATGTGCGGGTCAACATAGACGTGTGAGATGTGAGGGTCAACATAGAGGTGTGAGATGTGAGGGTCAACATACAGGTGTGAGATGTGAGGGTCAACATACAGGTGTGAGATGTGAGGGTCAACATACAGGTGTGAAATGTGAGGGTCAACATACAGGTGTGAAATGTGAGAGCCAACATACAGGTGTGAGATGTGAGGGCCAACATACATGAGGTGTCAGATGTGAGGGTCAACATACAGGTGTGAGATGTGAGGGTCAACATACAGGTGTGAAATGTGAGGGTCAACATACAGGTGTGAAATGTGAGAGCCAACATACAGGTGTGAGATGTGAGGGCCAACATACATGAGGTGTCAGATGTGAGGGTCAACATACAGGTGTGAGATGTGAGGGTCAACATACATGTGTGAGATGTGAGGGTCAACATAGAGGTGTGAGATGTGAGGGTCAACATACAGGTGTGAGAAGTGAGGGTCAACATATAGGTGTGAGATGTGAGGGTCAACATACATGTGTGAGATGTGAGGGTCAACATACAGGTGTGAGATGTGAGGGTCAACATACAGGTGTGAGATGTGAGGGTCAACATACAGGTGTGAGATGTGAGAGCCAACATACAGGTGTGAGATGGGAGGGCTAACATAGAGGTGTGAGATGTGAGGGCCAACATAGAGGTGTGAGATGTGAGGGTCAACATAGAGGTGTGAGATGTGAGGGTCAACATACAGTTGTGAAATGGGAGGGCTAACATAGAGGTGTGAGATGTGAGGGCCAACATAGAGGTGTGAGATGTGAGGGCCAACATACAGTTGTGATATGGGAGGGTCAACATACAGGTGTGAGACGCGAGGGCTAACATACATGTGTAAGATGTGAGGGCCCTCATACAGGTGTGAGATATGAGGACCAACATACAGGTGTGAGATGTGAAGGCCAACATACAGGTGTGAGATGTGAGGGCCAACATACAGGTGTTAGATGTGAGGGCCAACATAGAGATGTGAGGGTCAACATAGAGGTGTGAGATGTGAGGGTCAACATAGAGGTGTGAGATGTGAGGGCCAACATACATGTGTGAGATGTGAGGGCCAACATACAGGTGTGAAATGTGAGGGCCAACATACAGGTTTAGATATTACGACTGTACGATCGTCTATGTATTTTGTCTAAAAGATGCACCCATAGCAGGATATTTACTACAATGTCATAAAGTATCAAGTGAGTGCTGGGTGGCCGAGTGGTCTAAACTGAGCAAATCTCAAGTTGGTGGTGGAGTTCAAATCCCAGTCAAGCCAAAACACCACCAGAACCCCGGGTGGATGGGACTCGTTAACCTTGGATGGCCACTCTGAAGGAAACTCTGAATTTAAAACCATTGCGTAACCAGAACGATATAACGGTTGGTGCTATGCTCGCGTGCACACTAGTTTCTGACTCCCGCACAATATCATGGTTACAAGTCGAATTTATGGCTGTAAGTTCAACCATTAAATCTAATTGCCTATATAATTCATCACCATCTACCATATAATAACATCTAACATTACTAACATTCTACAAATACAAAAATATAAAGGCGTATTTGCTTCTACTTACAAAGGGTTAACAAATGGCGCACTAAGGATACGCCATCCCAAAACACTTTTTAAATTTTAACTGCGATAAAATGCAGGTCTTGAAGATTATAGCCATTTATAGCTGCAACGAATGTTGCATGGTAGAAGAAATCAGGGCTTTGAATGTCAAAAGTGCATTTGACGCGTTGATTATAAATAGGGCCACGTGAATCCTCCGGAGAGCATCTTCGTCACACATCGAACAGGAAGGTCTATTACTTTAATTTTGGCAGATTTCCCCGGACCGAAACCCCAAAGACTTATATGTGTCTGTTCACGTTTTGCCTCAGCTATCAAGATACACCTTTATTTTTCTATAAGTTGAATGTTCTTTGAGATATTTTAAATAGAATGGATTGGGACCACCCATGGATGTATCTAAAAATTGCCTTAATTATTTAATATTACAATATTCTCTAAAGCAGGGGTCACCAAACTTTTCAGCCAGAGGGTCGCATTAACTATCAAACAGCAGTTCGGGGGCTGACTAAACACTCGAGGTCCAAATAAAAAAGAATGAAACCATGAATGATGCTTTTCATTCTTTATTTAATTTTTTTTTTCATTTATTATTTAATAACACGTTGATACACTACATATGAACCTGTATTAATTGGATTTGTGAAATTGTTTCCTGGATGCCCAAATAGCAGGGATCAGCAGACATGTCTGGCTTTAGTTTTGATGTCCGTAACATCAACAGTGACCTGAGATTAGCATCGGACAAGTTTTTTTCTCAAATTGTTCTTCACGTATTTCGTTCTTGAAAATGTTTGTTCACACAGGTATTTTGTTCCAAAGATTGAAAGGTACCTTGATGCAAAAGTTTTGACATTAGGAAAGTCTTCATTGGGCAAAAACTGGTAAAAACCCACCAGTCCTTTGAACTTGTCTCTAAGGAGGTCAATTGCTTGCAACTCAATGACCTCCAGCTGCAGTTCATCTGGGAAACTGGCCACATCTGTTTCAAATTTTTTTGAAACAGTCTCACCTCTTCTGCCTTAAAATCCAAGTCAGATAACCGTTGCGGAAATTGCAGCTGGAGGTCTTTGAGGATCTCGCATGCAAATGACGTGGGGAACTCGACTGTTGCTTCAGCCATGATGACCTTGCACTGCTGAAAGTGCGTCAAGTTGTTGACCTGTACTTGTTCCCAAAAAACAAGACGAGTTTGGATCTGAAGGTCTTTAGGTGGGTGTATAAATAAGAAACAGGATTTTCCTCTGCTTGTAGTTTTAGGTTCAGAAAATTTAAATGACTAGTTATGTCTGCAGCAAAGGCAAATTTCCACACCCACTCTTCATCAGGCAGTAATGGCTGTGGCTTGCCTTTAATTTCCACCTATTTCCTTTATTTACTTAAATACTCTGCTCAGAACTTTCTCACAACTTAGCCATGTTATTGCTGTGTAATATGGTAAATCTTGCGATTCTGTGTCTGTATCTTTCAACATGTCTCTGAACTGTCTATGGTTGAGCCCATGCGACCTTATTAATTTCACCATCTTTACCATAGGATTCAGTACACTGCTAATGTCCTCATATTTAGCACACAAAGCTTGCTGGTGAATAATACAGTACAGGAACATTGGTTGTAGAATGTTTTTCTCATTACACATCTGCTTCACTTGTCCAACCAAGCCTTTCTTTTTGCCACTCATGTTCTTTCCTCCATCAACAGTCAGGCAACTGAGGTTAGTCCAGTCAAAGTTGTAATCAGCAAATGTTTTTTTTTTTTTTAACTCATTGAATATATCCTCTCCGGTAACAGTGTCGTACATAGTATGTTGGGAAGCCAGCTCTTGGGTTATGTTCATGTTTTCATCCACACCTTTAATGAACACAAGCAGTTGAGAGTTGGAACAGCTGTCCAGTGATTCATCTATTGCAATTGAAAAATTGAGTCACAATGTTTTCACCCATGTCTGCAACACGACAGGCAATGGTATGTGCACCCAAAGCTACATTTTTAAATTGTTTTGACTTTTCTGGGCAAAGTTCCTCAGCCACCACCAACAACCATTCCTTCATTACTTCACTATCTGTAAACGGTTTGCCACTTTTAGCTAGGGCGTAGGCAACTTTATAACTGGCCTTAGTTAAGGATTCATTTTCCTTTGAGGATTTACTAAACAATGTCCTCTGAGATGTGAGTTAATTTTGTCATTTAGAAAAATTTTTGGCACCGGCTTTACTCTCCAACTGTGCATATTTCTCCTGATGTTTGCTTTGATGATGACTGCGCAGGATGTATTCTTCTTTCATCACAGCCCCGGTGTCGTTGCAAGTCACACACAATGCTTTCTCGCCGTATTTGATGAAGAAGTATTTCAAACTCCATTCTTCTGGAAATTGCCGACTCTCATCCTCTAATTTTATTTTGCTCTTCTCGGCCATCGCTGGGCCATTAAAATAAAGTGAATTCCACATCAATAAGTAGGGAAACTAAAAGTACCTTGCACAAAATATCGCTTCAAAAACTTGATTATGTGAACTAATTTCGTCGCAATTGTGGCTGCAAAAGACCCGAACGTTTAAAAAAAAAATCGTATGATTACTTAAGTTAAACATACCTGAATGTAGTGTGCAAATCTATCCACTTATGGTAGAGATATTGTTGCTTTCAATGTTTCCTTCTTCAGAATATTCGAAAAATTCAGCAAACCATTAAAAACAACGCCATTAGGAAGCGTTATATCCTCTCATTTACAATAAACTAAGCTTACCAGATTTTTCTGGATGTCAAGTACGGACACAAAAGCTAACAACAAATGGAATCATACCGGCGCGGGGGGGGGGGGGGGGGTTTGCTTTTCTTACCTTTTTTTTGGAACCCTCCCTCCCCAAACCCGTCCAACCCCCATCCCCATATTTACAATAAACTAAGCTTACCAGATTTTTCTGGATGTCAAGTACGGACACAAAAGCTAACAACAAATGGAATCATACCGGCGCGGGGGGGGGGGGAGGGGTTTGCTGTTCTTACCTTTTTTTTGGACACCTCCCTCCCCAAACTCGTACAAGCCCCATCCCCATAGTAACACCAAAGAAATCAAATAATTTTAAAGATAATTATGACGACACAGGAATAGAACAAAAAATGTGTCTCTCGGGTTTATTACGCGGACAGTTTGACCAGACCAGTGGTCCCCATAATATCCATCGCTCTGGGTGCCATGTTGCCCTCGGATAGAGCGATGAGAATGGGGCAAAGAGGGCATTCACAGCGGGCACCAAAATCTTCTTTAGATAGGATCTTAATTGTGCATTGAAACATCAAATCCCATATACTCCAAAAAGATGAGGTGTGCCAAAAATCGTCTTTTTTTTTACTGATCCACCCCGGGGGCACTTTTTCTCTATATTAAGTGGCGCCATTTTCTGGCTTCGCCCCAGGTGCAG